TATATATATATATATAAATAGTGTGGGTGAATTAGTTCAATATACTCATAAGGACAATATAGGTCACCTAATCAACTTAAAAAAAAATTACCAAAGTATTTACATATTATTTATATATGTGGTCTTCAGATCAACAGTGAAAACTTAAATTCTTGTAAGATATTTACTAATATAAATATTATAAAGAATATATATGTCGATGATGAACTAATGATGTTAAATATTAAACAGTAAATTAATGAGATAATAAAATATACAAAATTTGGAAATTTGAGTAGTAAAATATATAAATTTAAAATAAGTTGACGTGTAAAATTTGTAAAATAAATGAGAGAAAAAAAGTGCAATTAAAAATAGTTAATTTTTCTTTTGTTGCTTTTGAATAGGTGGGAGGAATAGTTTCTCCGGTGCTAATTTGGGAGGAAATTCATGGTGTGAATAATTGCATAACACCCTGTTGTTTAGCTTTTGATACATTATTTAGGGACCCTACCCTCATCCCTCGAGCTAACTCTCTCTTTCCTTTATTGTGTTCAATAATATTAGGTCGCGGGACTGAGATTGGGATACTAATGGTATAATATTGAACGATGGGACTTGTTAGCAATCAAAAACTTAGGACCCCGTTTGAATATGTCATGAAAAGACATACGTGTCACAATAAGATGTTGACACTTGTAGACCCCATAATGAACATTAATTATTTTACACTAGAGTTTGGTTGAGAAGGGTGGTGGTGTAGGGTCCCCAAGTCAATGAGAGAGAAGAGAATGTGTTTTGTTTGGAGTGAAATGGGAGAATGAGAGCTGGGAAATGGGGTACAGCGGAGAGGAAGAGATCTTCTTTTGAGATGAGTTTGTGATCGTTCAATATCCCCAAGCAAGACCATGTGGATTGTGGTTTTCATTGGAAAGTGAAGTGTAATGGCTTTTAGGTTTGTGAAGTGCTTTGACTAAGGCCAATGTGTTTGTCTACTAGCCACATCGCCAAGAGCAACCCTTGCAATTGCTTTATCCGTTTCCTTTTCTTTCTTTTCATACATGGAATTTCACCATTTTTGCCACCTATCATACATTATACATTGAATTAAAGTCAAGTACACCAACTTTTCTATTCTGTCCATTAGTAGCATTACCATATTGACGAGGTAATGATAATAAGGCATAAACCTTAGAGTAATCATTGATATGGACATTTCTCCACCATACACTTTTTGACTCTATTAAGTACTATATTAATACTTGTTATTCCTCCGTTGTATGTATATTTTTCTTCTTACTGTTTCTTGGTTAAATCCGAAGTTTTCTAGCAATCATTTTCCTAAACATTATCAGTATGCAAAAGCTTCACAAGTAATTACTGTCATAGATCAAAGTGATAGTGATTGTTAGGTATTGTCACTCTGTAACGACTCATATGGGATTCATGCAAAATTAATGACACGGCTCAAATCAAAAGGGCTGTACCTCACTACAACACAAATGGTATTTAGTATCATTTGCAAAATGTTACTTAATTATGTATAAATATTACTAATTTGTTTTAGTAACATATTATCAAATGTTATATATAGTCCATGTTGCTAAAGAATTTTAATAACATTTTTGCATAATTAGGTAACATTTTTTAAATGTTACCAAAATAATATTTTTGTAATATTTTAATAATTTTTTGTAACATTTTAATGATGTTGCCAATATTTTATTAATCTTATAAAATAATAATTAATTTTAATTTAAATATTAAAATAAATTATTATATTTTTATGTCTCTTAAACTTCTAAGAATTCCTTAAGTTTTTAGGGAAATACATTTTTAGTTAGTCACCACTAATTATATATAAAATATCAAATTTTATTTATCTTAAATATAACTATATGAGTATATATACTCTTTATAAATCATTAATCTATTCGATGTGGGACTTTAATTATGAGTTACAATTAGATATAAGAGAAATATACTTTTTTTTTACTCGATGTGGGACTTTAATTTTAGAAGCATTATAGTAACATTTTTCAAAAAATGTTGCAAAATAACTTCTGTAAAAATTTTTTACTCGATATGAGACTTTGATTTTAAAAACAATTAAAAAGTATAATATTGAAATAAAAAATGTTACTCTACCTATAATGACATTTTTCAAAAAAGTGTTACAAAATAACATTTATTTAATATATAGTAACATTTTGCTAAAAGATTAAAATCTAGGAGTGCCTATATGTTCCTCAGAAAGATACCTAATATCTATACTAGTAGGCTACACGACAAGAGATGTTACACTCATTTCCTAATTGTTCAACGTTTATAAACTATAAATAAGCGATAACATTTCAACTTCAAACATCATAGTTCTCTTTTAAAGACTCAACTAACTGAATGACACAGACACACTCAGAAACACGTTGTTTTTGTCATCAATGTCACCAAATTAGTATTGGATGGTGCCATTTTATTCTTTGTTATGCAAAGAGCGGTAGCTCAAACTTCAAAGAGGCTTTAAGTAAAAAACTTAAATTCAAAAGTAAGATAATGACATCCAAGAAAGTGATTTGTCCTAATCTCATACAGGAAGCTAGCAAGTTTAGGTTGATTGACATGATTTATATATATGTCATGTTGCTCTATGAATCTTTTTAATTAATAGGGAACCTTGTAAGATTTGGCAAAAGAAGAGATGCAGTTAAAACTATTTAATTACCCCTTAATTAATTTTAGTTATGTCCCATCCACATTAACGTGGCCCACTCTTTAATAGGTGCAGATGCAGATGTTAGTGGGCATCATGTGAGGCACTTAGGGATAGGGAGGGTCCAAAAGCTAGGCTTTCATATTCTACTTGCTATGTAATCTGTATCATCCAAATTTGGATGCTAAGTTAACCTTATGTTATATATTATGCGGATAAGACTGACTTAAGAATTTTACATATTCCCTCGTGAGTAGAGACGAGTTCTATTCCCCACGCAGCACTCGCATTCCTTTTTTCCATATTCCCTTTTTTTTAAATGTTATGTTTTGATCATTGACACATTTCCCCCTTTATGACCATCACACTGACAGGATATACATGAATCAGTTTCCCAAATTTATAAGTTTAAATAAATTTGCCAACTGCCAACTTATTTTAAGGTAAAAAAACATAGACTAGTAAACAATAATTGTGTGTTCGGGGATGAAGTATCTTATAAGTGGTGCACGCTGCACATTTATTTATTGTTGCATATGTTAATATTATTAGAGTAAACATTTAACTTAATTCTTGAATATGATAAGTATTGTCGTTTTAGTACGTGAATTTAATGAAATAAAAAAAAATAGTTTCTCAAACTATAATATTACATTTAATTAAGTTAAGCCCAATAATCTGATCAGACGTCTTGGGTAGGTCGGATTTCAGTTAAGTGGGTTGATGCAGCTTTGGATCTTTATTGGGCCAAATTACATTGTTTAAGCTTATCAAATGTTTTAGGTTTTTTAAATCAAAATTTTAAGTCTAATATACAAATGGGGCCTACATTATCTACAAAACCATTTAAATTTTCTCATTGTATTTATCTACTGGTCCAACTTGCATTACTGGCCCTTTTTATTTATACACCTACTGGACTTTTCAAAAATGGGCTTACATTTAAAGTGTTTAAATTGGGTTTAAATCTAACAAGGTTGAGATATAAGACACTTGAAGAGATTAAAATGTTAGAGCTTTGAACAATATCAAGTTTACACATTTTTAAAAAAATTGAAAATCATAGTAAACTTCTTTACATAAATTCAAATCAACGTATAAAATATTTTTATAATTATCTATCAATTTGAGTTAATAAAATAAAGTATCAAATATTTTTCATTTAAAAAATTATACTTATCTATGTATTAAGAACTTTAATTTAATTGTTAGATCGCTAAAATTTGATGTAGAGCATAAGTTACTGAATAAAGTAAATCTATCAAGACTTACTCTTAGAATAAATGGATACTCCAAGAGTAAGTTTACCTACACTTACTCCAAGTCTACTCTTACTCTTACTTTTAAAATAAATGGATCTCTCCTCATACATACTCTCTCTCTCTCTCTCTCACACACATATATAGGGAGAAAGAGTTAGGATTCATTGGCACCCGATGTAAGTCTAAATGCTTATATCAAATCTTATATCTTTAGTAATTTTTTGTATAATGCAAATTTAACAGATACAATTATTGAATCATGTGATATTATACTCAAGATCATATATATCAAATTTCACATTAAAGGTTATTTTTAGAATAAGTGAATCTTTCCATCTCTTTATATATATAAAGAGAGAGAAAAAGAAAGGGATTGAATTATTCCAAGAATAACTCTTAAAAAAGTTATCTCAC